ATTGACTCCACATGTCGGAATGAGGCTGGCGAACTCTTCCCGTGGTCTCTGCGCGGCTAATGATGAGGGTGAAGAGCTGAGCGCATTCCTATGATGAGTTGCCTGGATATGCCCGGACTGATCTCTCACGATGACACCATGAACTGAGCTCTATCAGAATGGTGGCAAGCCTCATCTTCGGAGAGCTCTCGGCTCTCCCAACATCTGCTGTCTTGCTAGAGTGCTATCGATATCGAACATGACTTCGAGCAGCTTTGACGAGGGCTTCCAGTAGGAATTCCGTGGGCGGAAAGTTTTAACATCGAATGAAGCGGGAAGAATCGGAAAGCTGTGCTCCTCGGAGGCGTTTTCTCAATCAAAGGTCGCATGGAAAATTCGGATGTTTCTGCTATAGTCATTTCACCATACATTCAGCCAGCAGTGCTTTCCAATCCTGAACTTAAGACGAACATCATAAAAGCAGGAGCGAGTCATCTTCCGTGAGTCGTGAGGATTCCGGATATACATCCCTGTACAGCATCCAGCATTTCCGAGAAAGTTCGGCGGGGAGGGAACTCCCCCATGGATCACGACTAGTGATGTGTATAGGGCCTCCCGGATTTCTCTGAAGCCGAAGGGAGAAAGGTCGAAGAATATTCAGATCAACCATGAGATATGCGATCTCCTTTGACAGCGAATCATAATCTCACTCGTCGTCCTCGGGAAACCGGAGGACGCTTCTGCGTGACACCCAAGAATCCAAGACCGAGCGAAACATGGATCTCATAGATAAAGAATTCCTTGCTCATGAATGGGGCTCGACTTTCGTCGCGGTCACGGTCACGGACCATTTTTCGTTACATTGCGGGGCGTTTCTCCATGGAAAGTCTATGGGAGCCCGAGAATGCCGCGAATTTCCGGTCGAAAAGCCGCGACAAAAGTGGAGCCCTACTCATGATCAAGGACCAAAGTCGAACTTTCTTTCTATTCGCAGTCATTCGCTCCATCCCGAGTCCCCGGAGCTGTGTTTTTCTAGATCGTTCGAGTGCACATCGAGTTGTACTAGTCACGGACTGCTCAATCGTGGATTGAGTTATTTGCGCAGCCTGCCGGCGATTTGAGGGACCATGATCAAATCGGATTTCTGTTGGCCACATATTGCACAAGGGAGATGCCCCTTTAACTACTATGCTTGGAATTGAAAAGGAAGAGAGAAACAATCGTCTCCTGCTGCTGGAACGATGGTCATTGAAAGTCGGGAGCTGCCTCTGTCATCCCACGACATTCAAGCGTGAAACTGTCGTCAATTCCCGGTCGGAAGCAAGCTTTTTTTTCACGGTCCCCTCCAATTAGTTTGTGTACCCCGGCGACTAAAGCATCATTTCAGAATCATCAGCCAACAGGAAGGGCGCTACATTCGGGTAAACAGAGGAATTCCGAAGGACTGAGTCATTCTGATTTTCGAATTATTGTCGGAAATATGTCGAGAGATGAATGTCCAACTTCGCGGGCATTATCCGAAAACATCTGCCGTGCGGGGACGCTCATTGGTCCCGACCGGAGGTCAGGATCGAGCTCATGCGAATCCTGGGATCGGACAACGTCTGGGTTCAGTCCGGGAGAGAGCTATTCGCGGCAGATTGTCGACGGGAAGAAAAACTTCGCAAATGAGTTGACTCGCCGCGCGATAGAATCGATCTTCATCAGCCAAGGTCACTCGCAATTTCTGTGCGGCGAAACACAGCTGAAGTTTTGGCAAACGCCTTCATTTCGATGTGCGCCCCGAGCATGTGAATTCAGCGAGCATCAGTAGAATCGATGTGAGTCTCAAATGAGCTTCTCAGACAAGTAGAGAACTTATTCTGTCCGGAGTTTTCGAGGAAGCTCCCTGGAGTTGACTTTTCCGTTTTTTCGAGGAATGATTACAATGACAATCTTACATGCTACTCCGACTATACCGAACTCCATATCAGAAATGGTTACCTCGCGAAAGACTTTCGGAAGCGCGTCAGACAATGAAGGTCATGTTCCCCTGAAGCAGTTCCGGTCGGACCTTCGGGATAGTTGTTTTCTTGCGGAACCTTCCAATGATCTCAAGTCCTGCTGATCTAACACTTGGTTGACGACACGATCACCTGCTCCACGCTAGAGAGCGTGTTCTCTGACAAAGTCTGCCCGAATCGACTGTCGCCACGACTGGGAATCAAAGGGAAGGCACTAACCTTGATGTGGGGGCAGAAAGTTCTCCAATAAGAACCTTTTCCGTGTGTTTTTCTAGCGTGCGCACCCGAACCCCGACTCGAATCGCCGGAGAGACACATTGCGCGTTCCCGTAGCAGCTAGCGATGTTCCGGCGTAAACAAAATATTTGTGAAGACCGACTGCTTCTCTGCGGCGCCGATCGGAAATCTCAGCTGCTCGATGCGGGGGACTTCGTCGCCGCCACTCCTCACGGTCCTCGCCATTACCTGAATCAAGTTCCGTCTAGATGCGGTAAAGGAGGAGTGAGGTATCTCTTCTCTGATCAGACGTGCCGAAGGCACCCCTTCATCGACCGGAGCTCCATCGATAAGTCACCAGCGTCCAGACGCGCCGCTGCTTTTGAAATAATCTCTCATCGTCGACCAGTTCGCATTCTGTCTTCCCGGAGCGAAGGAGCGGAAGAAATCCGACCCTTGAACGGGTGGAGTTCTCTGCACTTCTGATTCGAAGACATTTTTCTCTTTTTATTGAGGCGTCTCCCGTACTTGACGCCAGCACGACGATACATGATCTTACCCAATCGCATTATTCTCCGGCGCTGTGGAGATGATTCCTGATCGAATCCGAAAGCTCAAGGTCCGACTGCACGATTCATCGCTAAAGGAGGTTGTGAGAGACAGGAAATTATAGTTCGACTATCGTCGAGGGCTTTCCGATCCTACCTGATCAACATCTTCGTCGCATCGCATTCTGACGCTGGGGAATCCCCCCCGGATGTCAGTTCTCGACTCTAGTTCTCTTACACACTTAACTTCCCTCTAGACATGCAACGACGCCCTTTTCCATATCTCAGACCGATCGATGACTGCTGCTCGGTCTGAGTGATTGTGAGGGAGGTAAGGCTCGAGGTCACCCAAAGAAGCTACGTTATTTCCCCCGTACGAAAGGGGTAATTCGAGCTTCTCAGTCCCGTATCTCGCAAAATAATCGTTCATGCCATCGACGCTGAGAGCAAACAGGACCGCGTGGGCTCATGGCGGGCACCCCCATTGCTTCTTGATAAGCATTGAGTTTCTCAGGGCTCCGGGCGGCGTGCTGCGGCTTACCCGAGAGGACAAAATAGGGGTAGCGCTCCGCTCCGTAATGATCTTCAAACCCACAAGCTGTAGTGCTTCAGCACTCGACCATCATTTCGATGCCGATCCTTGAACCAAATTATCACTCGAGCTACCTGTCGCTCTGAAGAGCCCGTCATTGACCTTACAAAATTCTATCGGGGCTAAGGGATTCTACTGAGAATGGTCTTTTGAGAAGATGGGATACGTGGTTCCCGAAAGAGTCATTTCATGGCGCCCCATGGGTTTTTCATTTCGGATGGATCTCTACGGACTATGCTGCGATCTCCCATTCTGATCCCACCGGATTCTCTGATCGATATCACCGAGCACCTTACAATATGAATCATCTGCCATCGAATTTCTTAGTCGTGGATCCCGATACTCATAGAATATGGACTCGCTCAGAGCGGCACAATGTGCGAAGCTCAGAGCGGGGCTCCTGCTTAACCGGTGGGATTGAGTGATCAGACTTGCGATGTCATCGCGTATAAACCAAGGGCGACTGGTCGTCTCTGGAGCTCAGAAACTCTGGAGCTTGCCTCGGGTTTGACTGAATGTCACGGTCCATGATGGGGTCATTCGAACTCGCTCCGCCGGGAGACGGATTGGTTCTATTGTATTATATATAGGAGAACGGAGCTTTCGACCCAACACTATTTTCTGATCCGGTGCGTAGGTATTCATTGAGAACACGAGGCATCAGGAGTTCTGATTCGGGACTTCTATGAGTCTGAAACCTCGAGAAGAATCGATCGAAGGCCCTCATCGAAGAGCATTCTTCCTGCGTTGTCCGGACAATATCGACAATTTTTGCGTTCTCAATGACTTCGACGAATATGCCGCCCCTTGTCTGATCCCCTCGGCAAGTCGCGTCGATTCCTCTTTGCTGGATGAAGGATCCCTCAAGAGAAAGATCGTTCCTCCCCATATCCAATAAATCTAGATACTTGGGGCGGAACGAATGCACCAAGCCCTCCTCACCTCTTTCCTCCAGCACCCTAGCTGTAGCACCGTCGGAACGAAAATTATAGTGTCAAGTGAGGTCGTCCACCTAGAGCTACATTGAAAACGCTCTCAGTCTTCGGAGTCATTCGTGTTTTTACTGTACAGAACCAAATGTACTCCGATAACTTCTCACACGAACGTTGAGCTCACACCGTGTCCGTGTCTCTCCTCTGGGCAGGTCCCCGAACATTCCTCGTTCTCATTCATCACGGTCCGCTCGGGATTCGGGGAAGAAGCCGGGTGATTGAACGCATCATTTAGGGCAACGAGAGTGGAGAATATAGCTCGGTTTCATCGAAAGTGACGGTTCGCTATATATAATATAGCTCGAGGTGACGGTTCGCTTTTCGATATCAGGTGACCACAGACTTGGAGCCTTGTGTTTTCGATTACGTGTCCCTATGGAGCCTCATAATCCTTCTGTGGCCTCGGCGATGAGCCATGTAATTTCTGCTCTTCACAGCAGGACGTATGCCGTCCCCTGGTGGCTTCGGTGCTCGATCTGTCTGTTTCGAAAACACTCCTGTTTTGGCAGTAGTAAATCTCTCAGTTGCCCTTAGCTATCACATATCCATTCCATGCATTACGATGTACAATAAAATATGTATGAGTGATTGAAGTCCCTCCACGACACTGGGAAACGACATTCTAGAAGGAGAACCATATAGTTCTCCGGCTCGGTCGGACGACTTTTTCTCAACCTTCAGCTGTCACTAGTTTCGCCATTGGGGACAGGAGAGACATCGACCGATTGGAGTTGACCTCATTCAGTTGACCGATTCGGTTGCTGAGTTGATTCGGACTCAATGAATTTATTTTCTTGCATGCTGGCCCATCTGCAAGAAGGATTGAACGTTTGAAAAAATTCCCCAATTTTGTCAAACAGCAGAAGAACTCTTTCCCCTGTCTCGTGTGCCTTGATCAGAGCTCGATCCATAGAGCGGAGAGGCTACCGAGAACAACAGAATACAAAAAGATACCTCACCTGTCTTGTGGCTGACACAGGCGATTTCGATGAAATCACCCGCGGATCTCGTCAGAAGTTTACGTATGTACTCCCCGGCTTCTTTTCCGCAACTCCTCTCCACGGCTCGATGGGAGCAATCAATATATTCCTGGAAATTGCTGCGGAGAAACGGGATCGTGCTTATTTTCCTTCAGATACCTCCGCAAATCGGTTCCGTCAGCAGGAGTTTCCTTAAAATCATCCTGGTCCGATCTCAAATATCAATAAGTCACCTCCGGTCCATGCATCCTCGATAAGTCCAGGAATTCCGCTGTAAAGCTTACCAACAAGATCTACTGACTCTCTGGTGAGGTTCAACTCCCGCGCTGAAGTCCAACTTCGAAGTTAGGTTTGTCATGCACTTGTGTAACGTGTCTCCGATTTTGTTCATGCACGGCGCGTGTCTCAGGAAGGCTGTCACAAAGAACAAGATGGTTTTGCCTCTGTCGGGTCTCCCAACGAACAAGATGGTATGCCGAATTCATTATGGAACAAAAGCACTCCGAGATTGAATACGTTGCTTGCCGGATTCTACCGCACCTTGATGCAGAGAATGATTCGCGTCACATTTCCAGGTCACCTCTTGACTTATTCCTTCCAGGATAACGATTACCATCCCGCGAGGTAGCGGCGGCAGACATTCCTTCGCAAAATCCCTCGCACAGATTTCAGCTGCTCTCTCGACCCTGCGGAATCAATTAATCGATCTGTCGCACTTGAAGTCGACGTCCTCGTCTCTCCCGACGTTTCAGAATTACGAGGTCGGTAGCCCAATTATTTTTCGATCTGAGCTTTTATATGTAGGATTTCCTCTCTCAGTCAGTTCAACTGTCCACAGCAGGAGCTCCACGAGCAACGGGATAGCGAGAAGTCCGGTTCATACCGAACAAATGGTAATCATCGGAGGACTTCCATCGCTAGTAGAACGCTTGTTGGGCCCCTGTTCTTGACGACCATCCGGCTCGGCAGCGATCATCCCATCTCCAGCCGCTTAGATCGCACCGAAGTAGCTCAGATCGGTGAATACCCTATTGTATACTTATTCAGTCGACTGGTCTTACCTGCACTGCATCTCCAGCTGTTCCCTCGTCTCTGGTATTCGCTGTCCAGTCCCGAAGATAACGAGCTCCGAACCGCAAGCATCGAGTTTATCCGGGTCGCAGCCCGGCTTCACGGGGAGCCCAAGGGAGAACTTCAGGTCTGGAAAAACGAGCGAAAACTCGATTCAACATTTACGCAGAGACAAGTTTCTCCAGCGAACCGGCAACTGCAGACGAGCTATTCCTATTTTTGGAGCGAGCTCATGAAGATTGATGAAGGGCTAAACGTACGTGGAAGCCGCGGCTGAGATAAACTCCCGCCAAAGGGAGATGGAGGGCAATGGCAGCTCCTCCGGCTGCATGCATTCAGCCCTTCTCGCCTGACGGAGAACTTCTTGGTTTTGATCGCAATCTATCCAGACATATTGAATTCAGGATTTCCGGGGAGAAGTTCGGAAGTGGTGTTTTTTTCAGAGCCAGAGACTCCTTGAATGAAGCCCAATCACCCTGGCTTCGTCTTCGGGAATTTCCGGAGCATTGGGAAGATTCCCCTGACATGTTGAAGTCTTTCCATGACGCATGCGTAGTGGCTGATGATTAATTTCGAACAATGAGCTCAGAGATAAGGGTGCAATCTGATAAGCCAAGAAGGAAGCCGAGTTTCGGAACAGACATAAGGCTAGTCGGGGGTCATCGGTGGCAGTTGAAGTTCTCCATATTATAACATACTGAGCTGCGGATCGAGAACGGACGATTTGTTCTTAGAGAATAAGCTCGATGGAGAGCATTGATATGGCGTGGAATCTGTTGGCTGACAATCCCCCAACCTCCTCCCTCGTCCGAGGAGGGCGAAAGAAAATCAGTTATTGACTGTACCAGTGATGGGTCCAAAACTTGTCGTCGCCCCAAAAGTCGATCGGAGGCATCATCCGAGGGAAGAATAGGATTTAGGTCGAGGAAGGAACGATTCAGCGCATCTGTGATATAAATATCGGCAAAAAATCGACTATTCGATCGTGTTTTGCCTTAGAAGACTTGAGCGTCGACTGTGGTGTGGGTGCCACTGACTGCGGCGGGATGGAGGCACTGGCTCGGAACGGCAAGGTTTCCATCGAAAGTTTTTTCTTGGCCCAGCTAACAGCTGCGGGTTAACATGAGCCGGCCGAGAAGATGAATAAATCACCGAATGGAAGCAATAGACATGCCATTGGAGCGAGAGGCTCGATGGATACCATGTATTTCTCTGGTTAGAGATTCGAGCTGGGTTGCAGGCATTCCGACGGAGTCACAGGATCAGCGACCAAGGATCCCTCGCAAGTCCTTTGGACTGTCGGATATGCTCGAGTTGGACTCGTCTCGAGAGTCCGAGGGGAGGATGACCTTTCTGCCGAAATTCAGCCATGCAATCATGTGGCCAAGAATCACGGACTTGGCACCCGTTCTTGAAGCGAGACAGAGCTCACCGTGAATAAGTCGTCGGTCAAATCCGTTAGTCAGCAAACCTCCGAAAAATGCGGGCATTATCTCACGATTCTTCAAGGTGGACGATTCCAAACGAATGGTGGAATTGATGGAAGAGGTAAGCGAGCTCGCGCCTTCATTGCTGAATTCTCGACTTTCTCTTCATTCGTCATACCTTAGCCCCTCCACTCACCTTAGGAGTTCATGGAACCTACTCAGACCGCTTGCTCGATCTCGCCCCGCCTATCCGCTTGGATTCAATCGACTCTTGGAGTCATTTAGCATCGTTTGCCCCCGAGCCGACCTCACCCAAGGAGGACGAGCAGAGATAAATAACTCGGAACGATGCCCTGCACTAGGTTCGCCGCCAATCTCGGAGCTTACATGATTGCGGCTCGTGTTACTCTGAATGAGCTCAGCCGTGATTGCACGAATATTCCCCGGTCGTCGGGACATATATCTCGTGACTGCAGAACCTTGGGATATCGTACGGATGGAAGTTCCTTATGAGGATTATCTGAAGTTATCTCATGAGATTCCTCGAGCAGACGTGATTGAGGTCTCGTGCTTGGAATAGGAAATAAACTCCCAGGTCACGGCGCGGCGTGGCGTGCTGAAATGGCCCGGTGCATCTTAGCAGGAGGTAACCGGAAATGCCGCAACAATCTCATTATGGGGCGGTGAGCACAGGCAGAACAATCGGAATCGACGCAGGCTCACCGATCCTCACAAGTGATTTTTCAAGGGGGACGGACCCTAATGGTTCCCTCACAACAGCATGAAGACCGTACAATTTTTATTTCCGTCATTCTCAGGAGCGATGAGGCGACAAATTCCCGCGCCATCAAAGGCTTGCCAGCCGAGAGGATGATGCCAGTTACGCGAGTCTTCGTCACAGAGCCATTGAAGGGCACAGTGGCAGGTTATCGATGTCGGCCGTTCAAGAGTATTTTCATTTTTCGCATGAAATCAGAAAAAAAAACGCCATTTCGTTTTCTGATTCCTGGTGCTCGAATGGAATATCAGTGTAACGATGGCTGTGGTGTGCTGACTTCCGAGAATGAGAAGCAAAGCGAAAGCGTAAAAGATATTTTCTGCATAGGAATAACGGATTGTTCAGCTTGAAAAGAGATGCTCCCCGACGCATTTTCCCGGATTTAAAGCATTAGGCTCGTGGGAAACACGTTCGGAAAACTATCGACTGTGTCTTTCTGTGGATTCCATATTTCCTCAGTTCGATGGAGTTGCTCTGACAATGTCTTATTCTGTGAGGTGATATCACAGTCACAACTTACAGCAGGAGCGGTCGACCATTCAATTCACAACGCAAAGTCAGAAATTTTTCGCGAATAAAGCTCTCGAAGCGTACGAAATCCGAATTCGAATCAGATCAGCATTCCTCCTACGGCAAACGATCTCTCGAGACCATGATTTTAATCAACCGTCTGTGGCGGACTGAGACCTGAGACCATGTCGAAAAGCAATCTCCTCCAGATGGAGCGTGAGGAGCTTCGCGAGATCTCTTCGGGGGCCTTCGGCTCTATCAACACTTCGGATCTCGTGTTCGTACGAATCCGCGACCTAGTCGGTGTACACAGCCTCTCAAGGAAATCTCGAGGCTAACAAGAAGATCGAGCGGCGAAATCATCCAAAGAGTCCCAACATCAGAGGGCTGAAAATCTACTGGTGATCTCTACATGTAGCTCGCAGAAACAGTAGCTTCCCTCCCGAGTCAGGGAAAGTATAATAAATCGCGATGCCGGGCTGTGTCAGTGCACCCCCGCCAAGAACTTAGTTCGGCCAGGAACTTCCGTTGTCCTCGGAGAAGGAGATTTTCATCTGCACCGGCCAGCTTGGATAAGTCCTCGCCCTCTCCCTTGATGCCGAAATCGAGCGTCTAGAGTCTGGGCAATTGTCCTTCTTTGGCCTCCCCTCGAGAAGAAATTCCGACACAGAAGTCGCTCAAGGGTCCTGGGCGCTTCCGAGAATCACACTTAGTTTTTCCGTTCCAGGCACGGTCTGATGTGCTCCACGCGGGGACCAGATGCAGCCAGAATCACTTCCGAGATGGATCTTGTTCAAGAAACATAAACAATCGTAATGAAGCGATCGCGTCCCCGAGGCGTCACCCGCTGCGCGGCAGGAACAGAATTCCCCGAGCGTTCGCGACGAATGAGTCATTCCCGCGGGCCAATGAATTTAATTGTTCATCGGACCCCTCTACGGAAAACCGTCTGTTAAGCTCGGAAAAGTAGGGGAACTCGAGACATTGACATCGACAGGAGCACCAATTTCGCACAGAACCCCCGATCAGGGTGTGACTTCTCCGTTCCATAGGGATTGTTGACGCTTCTTTGTCTAGGATGGGTTCACACGGGGGAGGACCCTCAAACTCGAGAGAGTGTAGGCACGCGCGAGGCGACCGCCGCCGTGGAGGCTTGGGGGCTTAGAGAGAGCTGGATGTCGCGGGGAAGTGTCATGCACTCGCGCCGACCCCGCGACACCGCACACCAGACGGAGAATCGCACGCGTGGCTGGGGGGCAAGCAAGCGAGCCGGCGGACTGGTGCAGCGGACGGGCAGACTGAGAAGCAGACACAACTCATGCGGAACTCAGCAAAACAATTGCTGGGGACTCTGATGTAGTTGTAGCAACGGTATCCGCGCTGCGCGACTGCGGCTGGTCGCGCTCTTTTCCATCCAAGGCCCATTGTCTACGAAAGTCGCTATAAGATTCAGGCAACACAACCTCCCCCGATTTTGTTTTTACGGCGAAAATTCCGAGCCTCCGGAAGAATGAGCCCCCGTTAGCCCGTATCCGAGCAAACTGATCCTCCAAGGGGAATTACAGCGATTTCTCTCTTTGAAACGGAGAGGAACGAAATCCGAACCTCGATAGTGAAACTCTCCGCCAAAATGTCCTCCCATAGCCGTCTAGAACACACTGGAACTCTCGGTCTCATCTGACTGGCGCCTAATTTGCTTCTGGACTCCGGTTCGGGAGGTTCCCATCATCTCGAATAGTTTGTTGTTCTTGTGGGTGACCTCCGCGCCCCCTGCGCAGATGGATCCCATACGAGCAGCGAGGAAAAAGGGGACCTCGCTGGAATTCCGAATATCTGAACACATTTTCGGGGGGAGTGCGGTGATCCTTATCCAACGGACCGAGCTCCGTTAAGATCGGTTCGAGGAATGGGTCTGGATGCGGAATATTCCGCAGTATTCACATTTGAGTTTAATTATGGTCCCTCTAACACCGTCATTGTTCCGTGCCTCGAGCGTCTATTTCTGTAACCGTAATCCTGAATCCCCTCCATTCTTTCTTGTTGATTTCTAATAAAAGCTCCTGTCGCGCTTTGGTGAATCCAGAATGGAAATTAAGAGAAAAAAACTAGAAAACCAAAACGAGGCCAAGTGTGCCTGAACGTCGGCGACCGAGTCGGTCGTATGCCTAGCAAGCTCTTGAAGGTTTCCAAAGATATTTTTTCCTCGTCGGTGCTTCGAATAGCCTCAAATAATCCTCGATGCTCGTAGGCCTGGCCTTCGTCGTATACTTCGTTGCGTTTCGCTGCGTAGATGGCATAAACCTGAGGTGTCAGACCCCGAATTTCTCCCGTCGACGTCGTTTCCGGTGGGATTGCGCAGCTGTTGACGCGGCGCACAGAAGTCCGTTTCAACCTTCGAAGAGCTGATCGTCATC